AATGACTGTCACCACTTTGGTCACTGTGGCCTATTCTGAAGAAGGTTTGGGACCTGCCTGTCTCCTGTCATCTCACACTCCCACACCCAGAGCCAGAGGCTGGGCCTTTGGGAAAGTGGCCGCATGCCTCTGCCTGGAGTCACTGTTCTGCTTTGTCTGTCTACGGTTCCCCTCTTGGGAATCCTCGGGAAATAGCTCTGGGCTGAGAGTGGTCCGTGAGGGCCAGGTAATTCACAGTGCCAGAGCTCAGACCTGGCCCCACAACAGAGGCAGCCGGGAGACACATGGTCTGGCGAGCTCTGTTTGTGCAGTGCACATGCCTATGCCTGCTCAATGACCAAGCAACATGGCCCAGGACACCCTTGTTTGTCCTATAGCACTGGGGATCAAACCCCAGACCTCTGGCATCATGTTCTACTTCTGGACACCTCTGGAGGGGCACCGCAGCCCATCCGACCCGTGTCACAGCAGAAGAGACATGTGTCGCCACAGATAGTGCTTGCCCGAGCTGCCGCTGGTGGTCAGCGGGCTGCACTTGGGTTTGGATGCCATCCCACACCTGAGCATTTGTGCTGATCTCCTGTGCTGGCGGAAAAGTGTCAGAGTAATGCAAGAGGCCTAATTGTGCTGTTTGGGTGCCAATAAAAAAAAAAGAAAAAAACGGCTTAGTTCTGATGAGGCAGAGGTCTGCAGTGTGATGACACCATACCCTTGTATCTGTCCCCTCTGCCTGTGCTCCCGGCCAGGCCAGTACAGAGAGGCTTCCCGGCTCTGGTCACAGCCCGCACACTTTCACTTCACGACCTTCTCCAGAGGCGGATTGCTTTGCTGAAAGACTCAAATCTCTCTGTAATTAGAGACAAAGATGGAGACACAAGTGCAGACAGACTGGGGGAGCACTAGGACCTAAGTGCATGGAGCCGGAAGGAGACCTCTTGTCTTCTAGGACACTCGGTGGCTTCAGGAGAGTGGCAGTGATTTCAGACAGATCCTGACATGCACACAGCGAGAGCTGTGAGCAGGTCCTTCCTCACAAAGCACTGTCCCTTCCACATGAGAAAATGTGACTCTTGTGTTCACCGAAACAGTGCAGAATGGTTACCATGCAAATCTGACCTGAGAACCTCCTGAGTCACCTGGCAAAGTCATTCGGCCTCCTGCTGTCCCTGAAACAGCTCAGGATGCTTCCTGGTCCCAAGTGTCCTGCTTCCCGCGGACCCCTCCCTTCACCCGCAGCCTGACCAAAGTGGCCCAGTGTTTGCTCACGAGGCTGAGGACTCAGGAGCGAGGGACGATGAATGACTCCGGGCTTGACGCAGGAAAATCACGCGTGCATCACCTGTTAACTGCTACATGGAAGTCTGCTCCCTGGGGGTGACGGCTGTGGGTTGGTGAAAGCTGTTCCTGACCGGCAGTGCTGAGCCAGGCACTGTAGGCCTCGTGACAAGTGGCGTTCAATCACGTGACTGTGGGGACAGTCAGAATAACCCGGCATTTCTTCCAAGCAACCAAACCACAAGAACCATGAGCGCTCATTTCCTACATCCAGGGGAGGGTGTTAGCTCTCTTCAAGCTGAATTCGCTCGGCATCTTGTATTAATTCTTCCGTTCTCCCTTGAAGCTGTCAACTCTCGTGAGTGACTGCACAGAGCTTTTTGGAAAGTTCCTTCTCCAGTGACAAGACAGCCAGGCCCGCCTGCTGGACACTGTGCAGGTGGAGTGAAAGTCCCCGGGCAGAATTTCTCCTTGATGCCGGGCGGGGGGCCAGCGCAGCGGGTCCCTTTTCCAGCCTCCCTGGTCAGAGACTGTGGTGGTGGCTTTCTGCTGTCAGGAGGGGCAGACGTACTTATTCGTCCCAGGTGGCCCAGGCAGGGAGTCTCAAAAGCTGAAGCCTGAGGACCAGAGCACGGGCTGAAGTGTCAAAGGGCCCAGGCCCAGTCACCTTTCACTCCCTCATCCCCAGTACATAAATACAGTAACACTGCGGGACCCGAGGGTAATCGAGGACTCAAGAGTCCAGGTGCTCAGCACGGAGAGAGAGCAGCTGCAGCCCTGGCGGTGAGCACCGCTCCCGCTTTCGCACAGCTGTGGCTAGATGCAGGTGCTGGTTCCCAGTTACAGCAGAGGACCGGATCCCCCCTGTGGCCTTTGGAGGAAGCGCTTCCCTGCTCACCAGATCACTGCAGGGCCCAGGTGCTTCTCTCCGTCTGTCTCCCCCTGCAGCTTCTCCCTCCCTACAACAGGTGCGATGGCCACAGTTCAGAGTGCCATGGTGGCTGCTGGGCTTTGTCGTAGTCACTGAAATAGCCACAACCTCAGTCACTGCTTAGATTGCAAAAGAACTGTGAGTGGAAATCAAAGCCCATCCTCCACTGAAAGGCAAAACAGCCAGCTGTAGGGAGCAGGGGCAGGGGCAGGGGCAGGGGCAGGGGCAGGGGCAGGGGCAGGGGCAGGGGCAGGGGCAGGGGCAGGGGCAGAGCAAGCCCGCTATTTTGAGATGAATAAACTCACAGTTAATCTAGCTTCTGTGCCTTGATTAGGACCCCAGCCTCATGAGCTATTTTAAAAGCAAGCTGAAGTAGTCACATTGTAACTTACCTGCATCTCTAGCCATGGATTTCCAAAACTGTGTTCATTGCCAGGTAAAATACTGAGCTCAAATTCATGTGCTACTTTTCATTTTTATACTCTGGTAATTAAGGCTATTTGATCATTCATCTGAAAAATTATACCGTAGTGTTTTTTCTTCCTTAAAAATTGATCCCAAACCAACAGTATGGTCTATGAATATGAATTCTAAAACCGTGCTGCTTTGGGATGAGATCGTGTAAGATGACCCTTTCACTCTGTGGTAAAGTAAGGGTGGGCACAAGAGAACAATCTGAATGCAAGTGAGGGTTCAAAAGCTTCATTCATGTTGGTAATGCCTCGTATACCCATTCATGTTGGTAATATTCACATACTTTTAAAATATCCCGTCAGGACTGGGGGCCTAGTCAAGTCACAGAATCTAGATTAACTTTGTGAGTTTAATCATCTAAAAGTAGAGGGATTTGTTTGGTTAACCACCAATCTAGTTAATATTTGGACCTTTGGTTTAACATTATTTTAAAAATCTTTCAGATTTCTTGAAATGTGGTAGAAAATATAATAACAAAGAAAAAATGCCCGAGAGAATAAAGCCTTGTCTGGAAGTCCCAAAGCCCCCTTGATCTCGGTTGGCCTCCCACTTGGCAGGTGTGTGTGTGTCCCTAGGAAGAGCCATACCTGTCCCTACCGAATTTTCATGGCTTGCAGATGCCTCTAAAAATCAACAGCACACAGCTCAGGGCTGGGCACCCAGCGGGTCCCCTGGGAACACTCTCCCTCTGCTGGAAGTGCGGTACCTGCTAGCGCCACACTGCTCTGACCCATGCAGGACACCCCTGTCTCTGACCTTGTTCCCCCTCCCTTTTATCCTACTGAGACCCTGTGGGTTCATTTTGAGGCTTTTATGCAAGTGAAAGTCACTAACGTATCAAACCTTAGAAATTATTCTTTTTCCAAAACAACTTTAGAGTGCATAACGCTATTCCTATTTTGGTACCAGACATGAACATTTTCATACTTTCAGGCAGTCTGCCACTTCACAAAACTCTTGGACCGGAGCTAGGAATCTCAGTGGTCAAGTTCATAGACTCATGGGATGGGATTAAGAGCTGCTCACGTGAAACACTGATCACTTACAAATTAACTTGGACACTACCGAACACGCCGACAATGAGCGTTGTCAGGAACAGACTCAGCAACCATGTACCATGTTGGTTTTCAAATATCTTAATCCATTACACTCAAAAATAACCCTTATACAGCTGGGAAGAAAAAAATGCAAGGAAAAAAGAAAAGAAAAGGAGTGGGTGAACGAGGAGCAAAGAGCATTTTTAGGAAAATAATCCAAAAATTTTAAAAGCTCTTTGTGAGAGAGAGAGAGATAGAGACAGAGAGAGAGAACGAAAACAGCCAGGCATGGTGGTGTCCTTCCCTAATCCTGCGGCTCTGGGAGACTGAGGCAGGAGAGTTCCACGCTTCAGTTCAGTCTGGCTGGGCAGCTTAGCAGCTGAGTGACACTATGTTTCAGAATAATAAGTTCTAAAGAAGTTCTGAAAATGTAGCTTGGTGTGAAGGTTCTCGATTCAATCCTCAAGAAAAAAAAAGGAAAAAAAAATCCTGTCAATGCTCATATTATAATAGGCACAGAATCAACTTCTAGAACTTGAAACAAATTATGTGCCTGTTGTTCACAAACCATATTTTAAAAAACCCCAAACTCCAAATATTACTAAATCCATCTTATTTGCTCTGGGAGTTTAATAAGTGCAGTATTATAGCTAGGAGGAAAAAGGATATTCGTGGCCTCTCCTTTTTAATCCACTTAGAGAAAAATAATATTTCAAAACTGAAATAATGTAAAAGCTCTCCTGCTTTTTCCTTCGAGCACAGCCACATGCAAGATAAAACAGTCCCCCTTTTGCCCACACTGGCCGCTCTCCTGGCACCAGGGCACTGTTAGACTCCATGACTGCTGGAAGAGGAGGGAGCTGCCCACAAAATCTCCACATCAACAGAAAGCAGTTTCGCTGGGCACCGACAGGTTACCCTTAGGACTCAGTGTGCCGCTATCAGGTCAGCATGGGATATTCTACAAATACCCTCCAGGTTTCTGAGTCACAGAAGTATGACACTTCTTAGCATAGCTGGCATTCATCACGCAGAGGTTGTACTGTACTTTTCTAGGCACCCTGGTTAAGAATAAAAGGTGAAGAAACTGCTTACTTCTTGCCTTCGAATACCTTACCTGCTCATCTGCATTGATTTTTGGGTTAATGCTATCGTCCAAGAAACTGGATTACATTATTAGTCAAATGAGTTTGGAAATGAAGCGAGCCATAGCTTATGCCATTAACAAACCGTCATCTGAAATCCATGCCAGCTTTCTACTGTGAAAAGCAACTTCACCCACGTAAAACGTCAAAAAGGACTTCATTTAATTAGTCATACGTAGACTTCTTTGCATAGAAAAAGGTTACAAAGTACTGCAAAAGACTAGGTACAGTCACTTTCAGGCAAATATTTAAAAGTATAATTTTGCATAATGTTTAACATTCTCGTATTTATTGCTTTCCCCACACAGCAGAGAAATGAAGTGCATAAGAATAATACATGCTGTGTCTTTATCTTTCAAATATAAAATCTCATGTGCTCAATTTCAATGTATTAAGAGATTATTTTGTCATTTTAAAAAAATCCAAAACCAAAACCAAAACGTCATTATGTAGCACTAGTCTAGGCACGGACAGAAATAATTTATGTACAGCCCTTTGCATACATTCATCTTGGTTTGGGATCTGGCGCGGCCCCTAGCGTGACCAAGGACAGTTCGATGTGGTGGCTTTTCTCCTTCCGTGCGAGCTCTCCTCGTCCTTTCACCCCCAGAAATGCAGCATCTGCCCCGCACGTGTGACAAGAATGGCTGTTACATGTTATGGGGTGGGAGTGAAGAGGCTAAATAGGTAAGAAATAGTCAAAATGAAACAATAAATTAATGCGAATGCTTGCAAACTGGACAGTGTTTGCATGTGGGCGTGAACCAGGAGGTGCAAAGCGCGCAGGTGCGCCCAGTGCACACAGAAATGCAAGGCGCAGGGCCGGGGAAAGGCAGCACAGTTGGGGAGGACTCTGACCCTGCCTCCATGCCTGCGGCTGGGGCAGAGCAGGAAGGCTTGCTAATCCAGGCACTGACAGGAACGGCTTGCTCCTGTGCGCCGCTGGAGGTCACTGCTTGGCAAGGCTGCACCGAAAGCAAACGGCGCAGCGGCAGCCGCAGCCGCAGCCGCAGCCGCAGCCGCGTCTCCTGGCCAGGAAGTTGCCTCCAGCGGCGCCCCAGGACCCTGCACGTCCCCTGCTGGAGCGCCACGTTGACTGGGCCACCTCCCGCCCATGAACTCAGAGCCAGGTCTTCCAGCCCGCCCGTCTCGGTTCCGCAGAGCTCCTTGGTGGCGCATCCCTTCCCCACGCCGATGCGCTCGTACCCGGCTGGATGGAGACGTCCACGGCTTCCCAGCGTGAGGATCACCAAGAGGGCGAGGGCGGGGGCAGGCTGTTCCTTTTTTTTTTTTTTTAAGCAGAGAAGAGGACAAACCCACAGGTCCAGAGCGAGGCCAGTGGCCGCACACTCCCGTCCTACGCGGAGCTCACAGCTTGGCGCACGGCGCGGCTCAAAAGGCGCCCACCTCGGTGCCCCAGGGCCGGTAGGGCTTGCTGGGCCCCGCGCCGGGCCGCGGGGGGCTGGCCGCCGCCACCGCCAGGGGCGGGCTGAGCGTGGCCGCCACGGCCGCCGCAGCACTCGGGGGCAGCACAGGGAAGGCACCGGCAAAGGACAGCGGGAAGCCGTGCGCTGCGGCGGTCGCAGCGGCAGCTGCTGCGTGTACAGTGGCCGACAGCGACAGCAGCGAGGTGGACAGGGGCGGCACGCAGGGGGCCACGCCGCCCGCGGACGGCATGCGCAGGGCGGAATCCGCGTGGGCGAAAGTGGCCGTGAGCAGCGCGGAGCCGTGCGCGGGGGGAACCTCCGAGGCGGTGGCGAGGCGGCAGGGCGTGGCCTCGGCAGGGTGCAGTCCGTCCGGGTGCAGCAGCGCGGCGGGCAGGTGGTGGAAGGCGGCCGCCCAGTGGTGCGGGTGCAGAGCGTGGTGAGCGTGCGCCGCGGACGAGGTCATCGCCGCCGCCTCCCGCTGGGTGGCGCACGTGCTAAGGTGGGAGACAAGGCGCACGCGCAGTGGGTCGGAGGAGTCCAGGCCCTCCACGGAGCTCAGGTACCGGGCCACCTCGGTGAGACACTCTCGGAATCCGATGCTCATGAAGTCCATGGCGAGAGCGTGGGCGTCAAAGTAGCCTGGAAGGGGTCCAGAGCAGAGGGAAGGAGAGGGACAGGGTGAGAAAGAGAATACAGTTTTGGAACCCATGAAACCCATGAGGTTCCCTACTGCCCTTCAGAGGATTCAAGTAGTGTAGATCCTGGCTGAGAATCCTATCAGCTATGCACGGTTCCAGTTCGTGCCGACCGTAGAAGACTGCTTTGCAAATCCTGTGTGCGGAGGCAATGCAATGTGCTAGCTATTCTTGCAATCAAACACTATGGTAAGGAAAAGTTAAGGACACCCTTGTTGCAGACGCTTCCAGGAAAAATGTATCTCTCCTTCAGTACTGTGGCTAAGACTTTCCTCAGGAAACATCTGCATGGAAAGCAGTCAATGCAGAAGTCTTTATGTCTGTGTCAGGAGTTGGAAATTACAGGGCTGATCCTTACTCTCTGGGCATTTTAACAGAGACTTAAAGTGTAATTTAGCAGCTTGATGATGCTCTAGAAACATGCTAGAATCTCTGTAAATTCATAAGGGCTTCTTGGATCACAATGCTTTCTACTTCCTAAAGTGAGAACATTATGCCGGTACTCTGCAGGAAATTCAAGGAAAATGAATTTTTAAAGATTTGATTACCAATTGGAAGATCTTACAATCCTGTCCAGTATTACAAAAGTGCTCTACTAATAGATTTCTATAACTCCTAGTTTTTCTGAAATACAAATGTCTATCTCATTAGCCCATCCACTCTAGAAAAAAAGTATATGAACTATGTGCACAGATCCCCCCTACCTATGTTTATTACCTGGGTCACCTTTGTCACCTTTTACCCCCCCCCCCCAAACAACATATTAGAATAGAAAACAGTGGTATCTGTTATTATAGTGCCAATGCAGGGCACACTAACAGCTATTTGAGGAAAGGATTCCATCTTGAGTCCTCTTACCTCTTGTATGTACAAATATATCGTTTTCAGATTCTTTCTCATTTGCAACTGTTTGGTAAGTAATTTTCTAATTAAAAGTTTAGTCAAGGCATGTTTTGGATGTATGTCTACATGAATGAGAAACAGCACATTGAAATAAAGTTATTTTCATCTAAGCAATTTATCGTATGTTCACTATTTTTGCAGATTTGCATTGTTAGATTATATTAAAAATTAGACTGTCTTAATCTGTAATCAAAACATTTTGGAAAACAGTAGTCTCATATGTTCAGAGTTCTAAAGCTGGAATTTCAACACAAATCTGGGAGTCATCAAAAGATGTCTGGTGGGCAAACATCTCCACCATTAAGACAAAAACAGTGATAACAGAAAGCTGACAAGAGTGTCATGAAATGTGGAAGATTAGCAGCAAAACTTATCACCCTAGGACCTTGGTATAATTAGCAAATAAAACACCTGGAGTTAGTAGGAGACACTATGCCCCCCCCAAGGATGACAGCTCTGTCATTTCAGTCCTTGGGTTCAGTGTCAGGCTTTGCAAGCTTCTGGCTTCATGGGAGAAGAGAGGCAATGATCAGAGAAGATAGAGTCCAGAGAGCCAGAGGGATTTAGAAACTAATTCTACTAAATCCTCTCTAGAAACAAATGTTATATGGAGACAGGCTGTGAAGGAGAAACCAACGGAATGGGAACTTCTGGAACTTCTGTGGGTTTTCATTAGTCATCATGAGGTGAGTGACATTTGTGGCTTGCCAGCTATGCTGCTGAATATGGCTGAGTCTTTTGTTGCGTCTTAAGGAATATAAATTATGGAACTCCCATCCCATCGTTGAATGCAGAGGGAAATGATGATCCACAGCTGTCTTATGACTTGATCGTGAGCCAACAATAGCACATGTGTCCATAACCACTTCCTGTGGGGCTACCAGCTTTGAGTGAATTAACTATCAGTGTCCTTGTGAGGTAGACACAAAACTGTCTTCATCTTACGGAACATGAATTTGCCATTTTAAGAAGGTTAGCAATTTACCCTGGATCACACAGCTAATAAATGGCAGAGCCAGGAGTCAGAATCAGGCGACGCAGCTACAGAGCCCGTACCCTCCCTTCCATCCCATGAGGTAGCAGGCATCGGACCACGTGAGCTCAGCCTGTGAGCCACACCTTTGTCACATCTATACATTCTCCTACATGATGACCTCTCTAGTCCCGTGCTAGTCAGGTGACTTGAATGGTTCCTGCTTGGAACTGTCTCCTCACAGACTATGCTCAGATGAATTTAGGATTGTTCAAACTGCCCAGGACAGCAAGCAAGATGGAACTCAGTTGTTAGTATAAAACTGAAGAGCAGTGTGATGCTTTAGAAGTGTAACTCATGCCAAATATTTAAAACTCTGTAACAATCCTTAGCCTTGTAGCTAGCAGTGCCAAGGGAAGTGGGACTGTCAACTTTTCTGTAATACCACAAACTCAGTCACCCTCCCAGCCTTGGGAGGCTTGCAGTAGCAAGGTGAAAAGACAGAGCAAGGTATTGGCGGAGTCTTTGAAGCTTATTCTTATTCGCTAGTGTAAGCCTCAAACAGCAGGTAACTTGTCTTGGGTCAAAGGCCAGGCAGTGGCCAAGCTGGACTGGACCACTGATTCTATGATTCCATGAAGTTTTCTTCTGTATCTGCTAAAAGTGTGTGGTTCACCTGTGCCGCTCCTTAGTCATGCAGAACAGTCAAGCTGCGTGGACAGTGATGCTTCCCATCTGACACAGGTGAAAGCTGCCTGGGGGCAGAGCTTTGCTGTGCAGTATTCAGGTTTGTAAAAGGTGACTTCTGTCCAGGGCCCCACCTTGCCCTGATCTAGGACTTCCAGGCTGGGTAGCGAAAGGCTAACACTCAGCCCTTGAGGCCTCTAGGACTGAGTTGCATTGCTTAAACTCCTTCTGGCATCTTCTCCGTACTCAGTTGTTGAATATACTGAGTAACACTTGGCCTGAGCACAAAGGCTTCCTTGAAAGGTGAAGAAGCCACAGCAGGGCTAAGGCAAGTCTCAGTGATGGGCGGGAAGTGGATTAATGGGCTCTGATTGGATATTCTAGCAGTTAGCAGCTCTCGTCTATTCTTAGCATGAGAGGAGCTCCCTCTCTGACCCAGAGTCCCCCAGGGTTCCAGCCATAGGTGGCCATCTCACTAGTGTCTTGGGGCCACAGTGCCCGCTCCCATCTGCCAGCCCTAGGAATGAGCCTGCTCTGTTTGTGGCTCCTAGGCCAGACGTTCATGACTTGTACTTCAAATGCTCCATTTGATGTAAAGCCAAGAATAACCAAAAACCTGGAAACAACCAAGATAATTTTGGAGTCACTTCCTGTGGAACAGCTACATTACTTTGCCTTCCAGTCTTGATTTAATGGCAGTAAGGAGGAGAAGAAGAGTTAAGACTTCCTCCAACCTCCTGTTTATGTTTGGATGTTTGCATGTTTGTTTTGTTTTTCTGCGCAGATTCCAGCATGTGCTTCTTAAACTCCAAACAAATCTCTGACCAGGCTGCTGTGAATGAGGCTTTCCTCCCACAGCATCATGAAAGCAAACATAAGCCCAGGGTCAAGTGCTGCTTTTGTCCCGGGAGTTCTTTCCCACGAGCTCAGTCCTGCCATTAGCATTGATTCCCTGCTTTAATGGGGAGCTGCGCATCTCAGCTTGTTAAAGAACAGCTCAGCTATGACTTTCTTACAATATTAGAGGGAAAAGATGAAACGACAAAGGTAGAAAAGAGGTTAAAAAAAAAGCCTCCTCCTTACCCTTACCACCCGTTGCCTGGAGCATCTTCAAGTGATCCACTGTCATTTGCAGTATCTCAGCTTTCTCTAACTTTGCAGAGCCCTTCAGAGACAAATAATAAAGTCTTATAAGTCATACAGAAATGCACTTGGCACATCAGATGTGTCTGAATTTAGTATGACAACTTCAAATTTCCCCCTCTTTAGAAAATTCTGTTTAATTTCTTAAAAAACTTAGTTCTTTCCAAACTGCATGAAAATACTAATCAGTACATCACATCTATGGTACAGGTATTCGCTATTTCAACTTTAAAGAGTCAAAGAAGGCAGGCAATACGTTATTCTTCTAAAAAATTACAAAAATTGTATTTCTGAAATCACTCCAAGGAAAGTACTACTACAGTGAAAATCTCAGACTTGGTGTTCAGTTTCTACTTTGGTCAAAATATATTTTACAGGAGTTGTTCAACAGTCATGTACAGTAATCCTGGGGTCAAGATCAGTTGAATAGCTGAATACTAACTCTAGAAGAACAGAAGCTATAATTTTAGAAAACTATTGCTAAGAGTAGATTATACAAAAATAATACATTGTACTAAGTCCTTAAAGTAATTCATAAAAGACCATCATTTGGTAGAAACTAAAACAAGTTTTTTTTTTCCTGCCCCAACAGTTACCAGTAGGTGTCACTGTGAATTCCAAGATCTAAACAGAAATGAACTTTAAGAAGCATCAGAAAAACTTAAGAATTTTTGAAGCTTTAAAAACAGTACTTAATAAAAATCATCTTGCCAATTATTGTAATGTCCCCTTTTTTAAAAATAAGGCAACTTCCGAAACCAATTGAAATACAAACATGCCACCTCAAATTTTCTTATGGGGCTTGTGGGTGGCTTCTAATTTCCTGAAAGCTTGAAATAATTAAACCAATGTGGGTTTTTTAAAAAAAATTCTAAGGCTTATTTCAGGCTCTTGTTTTGTGAGAATTATCAGCACCCTTTCATGGCGAGACTGCCAGGGTTATTCAGCGGCTGTAAAGAAGTCTCTGCTAATCACACAGCAGGGACAGGGCCAGCTCGCTGGGGCTGGCAGCCAAGCTCTGCAGAGGGACAGCTTGTGTTTATGGTCACTCACTGCCAAACAACGGAGGGTTTGCTCTTAAGGCTTGTTTTAAGTCAACACTTTAAAAAATCTAACAAACCGTAGGGAAAAAAAAACTCACCAAAGTGATGCTTCTTAGCAATCAGAAGCCACTTCTGTACTTAAAATTTAGAAACACTGTTAGCCACATTTTTATCTGTAACCTACTAGATGGACCTGAAAGTGCACCTAATCAGAAGTATAATTCCCATTATATTAAGCTTATGAAAAGCAGTCTCAGCAGCGTATCACCGTGGTGTCTTTTTTTGTCTTAGGCTATATACAAACCATGGCATACCACATCTCGAGCTCTTTGGTGCTTAGCTTTTCCATGAAGATGTACAAGTAGTTTCAATGAAAGAGCTAATAACTAAGACAGGAGTTCCTGGACAACCTCCAAGGGCTTTAGGGCTTGTTTTATGTTTGCGGATTCATGAAGTAAACAAAAAAATGGCATAAACAAACAACTGCTGTTTTGGACCCTGTTTGGAACTGAACTGAAAATATTTCCAGCATGGACATGCTGCCCCAGCTCTTGAGCGGCTCTTAGAAACCTGTGCCATTAGCCACTGTGGCAACTGGAGAAATGAGACTTTTCTAAAACCACAAAGGAAGATTTAAATGTTTGTTTTTCTACTTTTCTATGTGTGCAAAATCTTTTTTTGTGAAGGAATTCTTGAACTCTGAAAAGGAGCATTTATGGCTAATTTGATTCTTTTTTTTGCCGAAGTTCCAAAATAGGCCCCAAATCATACATTTGAGGGATTAAAAATGAAAGCAAACATCTTAGTAAATAAATTGTGTTAGTATTATTATTTAGGATATAGAACTAGAGATGTTATTTCCTGGGCTTTGTTCTCTCTCTCTTTTTAATTAATAAGATTACTTTTTTATTTTTACCAGTTGAGGGAAAAGTTATTTCACATATGATACATACATTTTTTTTTTTGAAGAATACTACATACAGAACAGTTTTAAACAAAACCACTACTGGTATTCATAGAACAGAGAAAGCATGCACATTGTTACCCTGAAGGGGAAAATAAGCTAAAGAATGGAAATGTTTTTTCAACTTCATGATGGATTATGTTTTTAATAGTTTTGCCACAACAAAGCATTTTATTGAAATAGCTGCTCAGCGCCCGACCAGGGCACATACACCATTATTTTAATGAGCTTTAACAAGAGCCCAGATTCCCAGAGGAGAGAATCAGATTCTTTGAGCTTTCTGGGGAGGTGGGTGGGAGGTAGCTTACTTGCTTTTCAAAAGCGGTTGGCACCAGTCGTCTCAGCTCAGATAAACTGTTATTTATCCGATCCCGACGCCTTTTCTCTATAATCTAGCCCAAGGAGAGCAAAACAAGAAAAGTTTATGAATACAGAGATGATAAAATTACAACACAATGGAAAACCACAACTGTTCCACATTAGGCTGGCTTACACAAAATGGGAAAAACACCCCATCACATACCCCTCTTCTTTTCTTTCTTGCCATAATTTGAGATGTTGTTGTTGGAGAATTCGGTCTAATCACAGAGCTAGCGCTTTGCCTGTGAAAGAAACAGCCGTCAGGTGCTCCATTATCATAACAGTGGCTTCTTTTGGGTACTCAAGTACTGGGATGGGTTTCGGGGTTCATGCCCCTATTATTTGATTCGTAGTTCTTCAGTCTCAGCCGACTTTGCCCTCAGTTCTCCTGTCTTTCCTTAGGAATGACGCCTTTAGTTTTTTTTTTTAAAACGTGGCAATCCAAATGCCAAATGTATTGGCAAAAGTGTCCTTAAACTTTTGTTTGCGTCTCTAAATAAAATAATTAGGGACAGTTAAGGTGGGACGTCAGATACATACTGGTCTTTTCTAGTTCTGCTCATACATGTTTTTAAGAGTCAACTAATCTTTTCAGAGCCTCCTCCTCCTTCCTGTCACACACAAAACAGAATGTTTTTCAAAATAAGCATCATAGGAAGCATCACGATCAGCCCGTCACCACGGTATCAGTGTTATCCCTAGCTGCAACCTGGAAAATAAATCACCTTCCTATTTCAAAACTTCCATCAGTCGTGTCTCACAACAGGAAAAAAACGACACATACGAGGTTTCTTATACTCATGTCCTAACACCCTGAATTATATAGGCCACAAATAGGGAAATTAAAATCAGATTTAAGGTTAGGTAAATGATTTGCTTTGAAAATGAAACCCACCCCTTCAACCCAAGCTTAAATCTCTAGAAGATGCACCTTTGACAACTATTTTCAGATTGAAAGTCCAATCCACTGTATTGGGTAACATAACTTTTACACAGCTTTCTGGTTTGTGTCTCTTTCACGACAGACTAGTTCCTGATACTGGTCTCTGGATGGCCTCCTACGCTCTGGGTCTTACTATTTGTCCACTTTCATTTTAGAAATGCTGCAGACGCCAGGTTTCTATTACCTCACGTTCTTGCTTCTGGATCTTATTTCTGAATTAAGTACCCACTTCACCCTGACCCTTCTCTGGTTACACCTTTCACTGGACATCAGACAACTTCCGTTTCTTAAAGATGACACAACATTTTAACAATCAGATACTTCATAAAAAACGTTTCGCGTATCTTTTTGCTCTTGAGGTTTTCAGGCTTTACTTTGCCAGTAGCAGAAGGGTAAGAAAGAAAACCAATTTTCCAAAGGCAGAGAGAATTTCAGTTTGAGTGACAGCTGCAGATAAATAATTAAGGTGCTCCTGGGGATGCCAATTAGAAGCAATTATCATCTGACCCGCCAGGGCTCAGAAAGGCCTCCGCCACTTCCCTCTGTCACAGCAGAGTGGAGGCTTCGCCTCTGTGATGATGATCTTTTTCCAGGCCGGCGATCAAGCGGTCAAAGAAAGGGCGCGCGATCGGATCCTGAGGTCCGCCACACACTCGCATGACAGACGGACCCAGCTCAACCCAAGCCTCGACCCCGAAGAATGCTTTCTTTTTTTCCCCAAAACCCACGTCTCACTTTAGCTGGTCTAAAAATACAAAACCAAACCACTTTGCTTCCCTGCTCCCCTATTTTGGAAGCGTCCCCTAAAGCACAGCTCGGGCGGTGGGGGCGTCACGCGTGACCGTGAGACTGTCTCTTTCCGTCGCCTCCCCCGCGCTTCCCGTCGCAGCGGGGGTGAAACCCACGCCGCCTGCCCCACCCCGCCCAGGCTCCTGGGCTCCCCCGGCCCCATCCTTCCCGCGCACACCCTCCTCCTCCCCACGGCTCGCCGCAAATTGGCGCGACACCCCCGCGCCCCAAGAGTGGGTCCCCGCACTCACCCGGAGTAGTTGTTTTCGCTCCCAACGTCGATCGTCTCGTCCATGTCGCTCTCCGAGGTCGTCTCCTCGCACGGGCGCTTCATCGCGCCGCCCCTCGCCGCCTCCTCCTCCGCCGGGACCCGCGCGGCGCAGCGCGGCGCCGTCGCCTGTCGCCTCCTCGCCGCTCTTTCCCACGCCGCAGCCCCGCGCGGCTGCCAGAGCAGGCGCCGGTCACGCCCCCACCGCACGAGGCACCGCCTACCAAGGCGCCGGCGTGGCTCACTATTGGCTGAGGCCGAGGGGCGGGGCCGCATCGGCCAATCCCCGCCGCTCTGCTGGGGCCGAGGCGTGGGAACGCGACCGCTCACCTAGGACCCCGGAGCAGAGAGTGGGTTAGGCGAGGCGGCGACAAGCGGGCGCACGGCTTCCAGCTACAGCCTAGGACAGGGGGCTGGCGGAGTGGAGAGCTGGGCGTGGGCTCCCGATCTCCGGTCGCGGGCCTCCGCTGGCTCTCCTGGGAGCCTCTGGGCCCGGCCTCGAGCCTTGGCGGCCTCCGACCTTTTGATCCTCGGCCGCGGGGCTGCGATCCGGGACGCCCCAGGCGGACCGCGGCCGGCATTGTCTGCTCCGTGGTGGGAAGAACTTAGAGCAGGCAAGCGCAGGATCCAGGACGCAGTGTCAGCAGGCCTTAAGTTCCAGATGCTTGGGCTTGGCGCAGCTAAATGAGTTCCTCAGTTTCTCCTCCGCCCCCACCCCACCCCCCGAGAGCGCAATTGCAGCGGGACAGTTACTAGGATACAGGACAGGAAGACGCGCGCTGGGACCACGAGGGTGTTTCCTAGAGCACCACGCGTGTCCAGTCATCCTCTGCGCCGCGGACAGCGTGGGCTGTGTAAACTCCGCGTGCGCTAAGCCCGTAGTTCCAAGCTTCTCTTTCCGTCTTCGTCCTGGGGATTTTGCAGCTGGCTCCGCCGATTTGGCTTCTGAGAGAGCGAGACCGCGGGTGAAGCGGGGCCGCGGGCCGGGCAGGTTGAGGTCTGAAACCCAGGCGTGGCGCCCGGTACCTTTGAGCTGGGGGGAGGGGGAACGTCTCTCTGTCCTCAGGGCCTCGCAGCGCGCGCACGCTCACCCAGGTCTCATCGGGAACCTGCCTCGGGCATCCTTGGACCACTCCATTCTCTCCCTTCGCAGGACCCGTGGGACAGGAAAGAGAAGGGAAAAGAGTTAGATCCGGGCGGGGGTCCTGGCCAAAGCCGAGGCCCTGCACCTGGCGCATTAGACCCTCACGAAGGCACGAACCCGGGTCCCCACCATCTGCGGTCTCTTCGGTGACCGTGTACCGAGAAACGCGACACGATCCAATCTGACTTCTGAAACACTGCCCTGGGCCGGGCCAAGGCCGCGGGCCACAGGGACCCCTCTTTCCAACTCTACTGCAGCTCCAGGGGAAGCCTGGCAGGGCGGGGGGAGGAGGATCTAGGCCTTCTGCATGCTCCGGGGGTGCGAACAACTGGGGGTGGGGATCCCACGCCCGCGGACGCCAGGCCTTACGTGCCCAGCGGGGGCGCTGGTAACTGCGCGCCCAGCGCTGGGGAACGCGCGCGGCACGGCGGGCGCGGGCTCATTGCGGGGGGGGGGGCCCTCCTGCCGAGTAGCACATTTCTCTGAAAGCCAAGCCCGCATGTGCAATTAACGTTTGCCACGCGAGCAAATTAGCGGGCGCCTTCCAAACGCCAGAGGCCAAACCTGAAATCATCATTCTCACTCTTCTCTTGTATTTAATTATAATGATTGTGAAAAATTGCAGAGGGAAACGGTTAGCTTGCAATAAAGTAGCAACTGGTTGAATTTTTCTCATATTTGTTTTGAAGACTTAACCGCGGTCCTGAGCATATACAGCAGCGGCGTTTGCAAATACGGATATAAAGTCACTTAAAGATATTTTTTTTTTTTTTAGCAAAATGGGCCGTGTGTTTTCGCTGCATTCAGGGCAGTGACGCGTGGCAAGCGTTGCATGTCTGGTAAAGAAGGAATGGGGCAAAAGACAGCATTTTGGACACTAGCATGTGTTACGCTTATCTATCTTTAAGGTATTTAGCCCCAATTCGCTGAGTTTTTCTCATTAGATCTTATATTGCTTTCAAGTGTCACATGTGTCGGCCCGCTGGTTAGACGTCTAGTCTGTCTCGCGTCCCAGAGTCTTGGATCTAGAGAAACACGGAGGGCGGACAATCGTTCAAAGCACTCTAGCTTATTTAAAAACCTGTGGTCCAGGCAAGGTGGGGGTGGGGGTGGAGTTGGGATTGTAGGTGTGGCGTAAGCAAAGGGTTAGAGGAAGAAAAGGGGAGAGCAAGCGAAGAGATGGAGGACAGAGGGGAGAGGGAACGGGGGGGGGGAGAGAGAGAGAGAGAGACAGAGAGAGAGACAGAGAGAGACAGAGAGAGAGGGAGACAGAGAGACAGAGACAGAGAGAGACAGAGAGACAGAGAGAGAGACAGAGAGAGAGAGACAGACAGAGACAGACAGAGAGAGAGAGACAGAGAGAGAGAGAGACAGAGAGAGAGAGAGACAGAGAGAGAGAGAGAGAGAGAGAGAGAGAGAGAGAGAATGATTTTCAGGATTTTCAGGGAAAGGATTTACTAACAACCGGGACGCAAGAAAGGATGTCCACGCAGAGCAAACTGCAGTCCTTTGCTTGCTTTTTAAAAGATTTAAACAGTGAGGTAATTAGACCGATCGATGGGTGGGGTTAGGTAGGGGTGGGGGAAGACCTATCCTAGAATTCTTTAGGAAAGAAAGTCCAGATCTCTTGGGAATGGCGGAGGGGAGACCCAGTCGCTCCCTGAAACTGATCATCTTGCCAGTTTGGGATTTTTTTTTCAACTCCGTAGGTGAAAATGAGGCGTGCGCATAGATCTGGAAGTCAAAATTCAGTGAGGTTTTGCTGTTCCGAACCTCTCTAGGGCTCGCTCCCTACCTGTTTATTATAAAGTTAGGTAAGTTAGGTGATCTTGACCAATCCCATCTTGTCTCACATATTTTGAACAAAGTGATTGCTGCGATTCTAAAATTTCCCTCGCATTTTGGGAATTTTGGGAACGAATCGGGGACCTTTTAGAACTTGTCTTGCTCTGCTTCTTTCTTCATTAGAACCCTCTAATTTTTCAAAGATCAGTTGCCACACTCTCTATTGCTTCTCTGATCACATTGCAACGCAACTTACAATTAAAAATCATCAGCCACTGGTTGGTAGCGTTGTGGGGTCAGAGCATCATCGAGGCACGTTACCACTTTAACAAAACATTTAAAGCAGTGACAGAAGGGCAGTTTCATTTAGAGACCTTCACGTTAGCCTGAGGAAACTAGATATAGTTAATTCAAGTTGAGAAGTATAGTATTTTGCCTCTCTTTAAAAGGTTGTACTTCTTTGCCTGGATTACTCTTGCAAAGCGGTGACTTGTGCTAGTGTATTTGCAGTCTTTGGGGCAGATGATAAGCAAGTGTGTGTGCGTGTGTGGGTGGGTGTGTGAGCGCACGGGCGTGCACGTGCACGTGCATTCTGGGCTGTCTCTGCTGACTCCAAGGCTGTTGTACCCTAGCAACACCTCCGGAGCAGAGGGTGTGAGCTCACTGTGGGAGGAGCGGTGGCCAGCCAAGTCCTTGTCAAGACCTCTCCCATCATCAGCCTGCAGCAGGCAGCCACTCTAAAGTCAACACACATTGCAAGCCAGGAAAGCAAAGCAGAACACTATTTAGGCCCACCGAACTTGAAGCCAGCTCAGAGACGGTGCTGCTTGATGCTTTTCAGGGATTCCTGCCTGGCCAGCCGCACAGTCTGCGTTGGATTTCTTGGCTTGCTCTAGTACACCTAGACAACTTGGCCTGTTACGTCACAGGCTCCAAGGGAGGAAGCCTAAGCCCCTACCCCCGGCTTCTGTGGGAGTTACAAGGTTTTAAAATTGATCTCTGTTGTTGAGGGACAACTTATTTAAAAGCATTTATTTCATGGTGCTTTTAGTGTTTAGGGCACTCCCAAGCTAAGTGGTTCTATTGCAGGAGCCCAGAGAAGAGGGGGTGCAATAAGTTGCCAGCTTTCCTGTGCATCCAGGAAGTCAGCAGCACAAAGGTGCCAGCACTCACCACACGCTCTTTGCAGCCTTAAGCTGGCATGGGCAGCTTTTCTTTCAGGGAAAACTCTGGATGCCTGTGTTCTTCAGGCTGGTTTCACTGGCAGTATTTCACCCCCACCTTTTAAGGGGTGGAAGTGAGAGGCATTCTCTTCTGTCACAGAAATGACACCTAAGTGCGTATGCAGGAAATGGCTTGGGATGAAGGTCTTGTTAAAATTCATGAGTGCTTCCTTTGCTTTTTTCCATAAATATTTAGACTTTAAATATATTGGAATAATAAAGTAGAAATCAACAAACATTATTTGCAAGCTGTAGAAACAAGGAGAGTGCAGTCTTCTGAGATGTGAGCAGGAGGGCATTTTCTAAATGGGCTCCTGGTTTGCCTGCAGCTTTCTGGCAGAAAGTTTTTAATTTTTATAGACAGAAAAGTGGAAGCATATTACTTTTCAAAAAAAGAAAAACTTAACCCTGTCACTAGCATCTAAAAGAACTATTCCATTGCCTTGATTGAAGGCTTGAAATTGATTGTTTTTTTTTGTTTTGTTTTTGGTCTTTTTGAGACAGGGTCTTACTATGCAGTTCAGGCTGGCTTTGAGCTCACTTTGTAACCCAGACTGGTCTTGAACTGGCAACGATCCTCCTGCCTCGGCCTCTCAAATGCTACGATTACAGGCATGTGCCACCATGCCTGACTTGATGTTGATTATTAAACAATTATTTCTTTTGTCAAAACATTTTCCCAACTCTCTCTATTAATTATAACATGAGGGCCAGGGATATAGTTCAGTGCCTGCCTGGCAAGTGCAAGATTGTGAGTTTGATTTTAGGTACCAAAAAAAAAAAAAAATTACAACATGAAAAAATAGCATCGAGATGGTTGATAAATGGAGGCAACAGATTATCTCCTGTTAGGTAAATAAGCCATCTACCAAACTGTCAAGAGTAATTGATTGACATTAACAGGGCTGTGGGCCTATAGTGTTCCAAAAAAAATGTGAATTCTCTAAAGAAAGTTTCTGTATCAGTTTCAGGAAAAAAAAAATTAAAAAAAATTCCTGAATCTGGTTGGTTGATACTAATTGATGAAAATGAAAGTAACAGGTGCTTGATATTTTCAAGTGCAATGGAAAATTTAGGTCTAAAAGTATTTCCCTATAGAATGCAAATGAGCGTCCATATTTTCTCCACACTTTTATGAGAACATTTTTATTAGATATGTGTGCCTTTGTGTCCCCTCTTAGTTTTGAACTGGCAGATAATCTCTAAAAAAAAAAAAAAAGCAAAGCCTCCAATTCCTAGATTAGAAATAAGAGCTTGCTTATTTTAGATTTACTGTGGGAAAAACCAGGCTATTTTTAATCTTCATCTTGTAAACCTATCGGAATACATACTGAAAGCATAGAAAAATAGCAATTATTTTTTTCTGCCTGGACTAAATCTTTTCTAGCAGGGAAGAATTCAACTAGTTCTTAGTACTTGTTAATTGAAAAGGCAAAGCAAAAAAAGATTTTTTTCTGATGTTAGCTTCAAAATAATTTATAGCATAATAACATATCAGGACTATTGGACTGTACATATTTTTAGAGAAAGATTTTGCTCTTATGACTGCTGCATTGCTGGTGAATAAATGTTTTAAGGAAAATGAAGCTCTGTTGGAGGGCTGAAATATCGTCAAAGCAGTACACTCTTTGGAAGCAGCAGGGACGCTGCTTAACTGAGCTCAGTAGGCTTGGCTGAGGCCTGGGGAGGGAGCTCTGAGAGGTGTCTACAGGGCCTGCTTCGGGTTCCTATGCTGCAGGTGCCATTGAATTATGAATTGAAACTCACAGCACTTGTCACGGCAGGCGGTTGGAACTTTACTAGAGTAACAGCTTTAACAGGGCCATTAAAACATCTAAAAGTAGAAGACAAAATAGGCATAGAGAGCAGCAAGCAAATGTAAGTGACACCTATGGCATAAACGTGTATCACCATGTATTCTGCACAGGGAAGTGTGCAGAGATTAGATCTAACAAGCACAAAATAGGTAAGGGCTTTCTGTGACGTGGTTGTTAGTGTCCGAAAGGCTATGGTAAAACCTGATCTGGGCCAGTAGCTCAACTCACAAAGGAAAATGTTGCATTTCATAGTTAGACATGATTTGTAAACTGGTATTTATATATCTTATGTATTTTGGGGGTGTTTATTTTTGAAAATTGTAGTCACTGTATTTTGGTTTATTTTAGAAATCGTAAAACCTTCTCTTTTGTCTGTTCCATTACCTACATTTTATAGAAGCTTTTTTATGTGTGCAGTTTTAAAAATATAGGCCCGCAGGAAATCAGGCTTTAGTATTTTGGACCCTTTAGTGTATGGGAATGGGGTTGTTAGGAAGGAAGGTTGGGAGCGTGATTTTTCTCTGGGGTTTATTTAGATGGAGCACGGGAAAGATCACGTCCTCTTTCCACGAACCTATGATACGCTGCTATGTGAGCTATATTTCTTGTGTGTTTCGATTCTGGTTGGGATAACAAAGGCTTCAACAAAAATTAAAATTTCTTAGCATACATTTAATGTTTTGCAGTATGAATTGGGAAAAGAATGTCCTCACTTTAACAATGAAGCACTTTGTGCTTAGAGAATGTGCAGCTTGAGAACATCCTGATTGGATGTAAACAGTAAGTAACTGTGAGGGTGAGAGGGTCGGAAAACGAAAGCCGCAGCACAGAGAAAGGTCGC